TTTTTCCTTTTTGTCTTTTTTCGTGACCGGTAATGGGATCGCAACCCTTGGTGTCGCGCCCTCACCGTGACCGGCAACGGGATCGCAACCCTTGGTGTCACACCCGCACCGCGCTCAACCAGTGAGCGGACCGGTCTCTATATGGGATCCGAACCCTCGGCGGGAGCGCCGCCGCGCTCCCAAGCGCTGCACTCTACCGAGTACGCCACCGGGCTGGCCCAACATGAGGTGTCTTTTTAAGGTGATGAAAATGTTCTAAAATTGGGCTATGGTGATGGTTGCACAACTCTGTACGTTTACTAAAAATCACTGAATTGTGCCCCTAAAATGGGTAGATCTTGTGGTATGTAAATTACACTGCAGTAAAGTCAGATTATGTCATTCCTGTACTCAGAACCCTCCCGTGGGACCCATCTCTCATGGAGTCAAAGTCAAAGTCATTGCGATGGCCCTTGAAATCCAACATGACCTTCCCTTCTCTTCCCCTCACTCTGCTCCAGCCACACTGACATTGCTATTCCAGAATGTGCCAGGCCTTTGCCCTTGCTGTTCCTTCTTGCTGAAGGCTCTTCCCCTGGACATGCTCATGCCTCACTCCTTCACCTCCTAACTCTCTGCTTAACTGTCACCCACAGGAGAGGACAATGCAACCTCCACTCCTACCAAGTGCCCTGTCCCTTCTCTGCTTTATTTTTCTCCATAGCACTTATAACAACTGGACTTACTACCTATTTTTTAAAATCCTATTCATAGTCTGTTTCCTACTAGAATGTAAGCTCCACAGGCCTGGGATTGTTTTTTGAGCTCTTTGTAGAATCCCTCGTGCCTAAAATAGTGCCTGGCATTGACACGGTACTCAATATGTATTTGTGGATGAAAGAAAGCAAGGAGTCAGTACTATGAACCTTCAGGTGGAGAATAAATGCAGTCCTGACAAGTTAGCTCAGCTGGTTAGAGTTCAGCCTTACAACCCCAAGGTCATGGGTTCAGGTCCCCCTATCGGCCAGTGCCCCCCCCCAAAAGAATAAATGCAAGAAATGTTTTCTTTTTTTTTCTTTTTTTCCCTCCTGGCACAACTTCTTCCCAGCAGCTATACTTGGGGATCTCTGAAGACTGGATAAAAGCAAATGAAAGATGCTAACTTTGCTAAAAGTACACGCAGGAGCATTTAACTACTGTTCTCAGCTCCTCAACTGCTTGTTTCTAGAGCTCTTCTCTGGGGGACTGATGGCACTGTGACTGACTGCAGTCTTCAGTGGGTA